TGATAACTCGTTGTTAACAATATTTCAGCCAATGGTCAATAGAAAGCTTGACAAACGAATTAAATATTTATTTAATCAAAAGTATTAATTAAACTATACATGGTATATTTATTTAATAACATTAATTAAAAGAAAATATTTTTAGGCTAACCACGATGTTTGAAACTGGTCACTTGCTATATCGTCAACTAAGTAGTGATAAATTAATACGTGATAATTTTGATAATCAGGATAGTTCTGATTTATTTGCTCCCATAATACTCGTTGATATAAAATTATTTTTCTTTTGGTTAATGTATGGCTTATTAATAGCTATATTAGGATTGATGTGTGAATTAATATATAACCGTAATCGCGATGAATAAGCCTAATTATAATTATTGTTATTAATTAATAAAATAATTGTAGGTCAATATTATAAACTTATCTAGAGCTAAGTTAATTTAAGCAATATTAAAAGCTAATTTAATTAATTATTTAAAAAGGTTTAATTAAAAATAACAAATAATTTGTAATTTGTATATAATTTTCAAAAACTAATTAATCTAGGCTTTTGTCTACCGTGTATGAATATGATATTTTTAAAGCTTACAATATCTGTGCACATACATTTTAAATAATTTCAAATATACCAAAACTATCTATTTGGACAATAATAACATTGTTTATTTTTCCAAAAATGTAACTTATTAAAAAAAACTATTTATAAATGTCATAAAATTGAATATTTCATGTGTAATCACTGATTAATAATTCCAAATATTATTATTATAACAATCTGAAAATAAACCAAAAATAATTAAAAATAAAGTAATTACTAGTAATATAACGAATTAAAATGTAAACAAAAGTTAAATCATAAAATATACCAAGTGCAGTTGTAAGGCAAATACAGGGACAGTGGCCCATCTATAGTCCATGTGCTTCATAACAAACCCACCAATTACTGGTCCTATGCCATATCTATTGAAATTAACCATGAACACTTAAAACTATGTAAAATATTATTTATTAACCTCACAATGATTTACCCAATTGATTCAGATATGGTAAACATGGCAGATAACCGAGATGTCATTGATGGATTTTCGGGAAAACCATATTTACTATTGTTATTCATATAATATAGATATAAAATTAAGTGTATTTTAAATTGATTATGTAAGAAAACTTACATTGTTTCTTTATAACCTTGTAAGAAACTGCCCACCAATACTGCGCTTGCTCCAATACCCAAAAATACTTGGGCAATTGCAATTAACGTTAATGATCTAGGTAAAATTCAAGTAAATTGTAATTATAAGTATATAGATTTATTAAGTTTAAATCACTAACTCTTTGGCAGGTATAAACGGCAACGGTCCAATCAAGGTAAAACATAATAAACTAGATAAACAACCAATAAGGCTAATACAATAGCATGATGATAACTTCTCTGCCATAATTGCCCATAGTTTATTGAATACAGCGTATGACAAGCCAGATATTAAAAATATCATGCCCTTTAACGATGATGATAAGTTTGCAATCTATTTAAAAATTTACAATGTTAATTAATTAATTGCAAATGTTTCTATTAAGTTGGTTAATTTATATTTACACTGATTATATGTAGATCAAGTGTTGATGCGTTGAAACCTAGCATAGCACCGGAGCTTAAATATACAAGCACGTTTACGGCTATGCGGGGTTTACGCAATAATTGCCAGTAGGTAACTTTCTCGTCAGTGTAATTATCGTGATCCTCTAATAAATCAAACAACCATATTTATATATAATTATTTATGATTGTGTCAATGTTAAATACTGTCATCTATAATTTTGAAATGTGCAATCAATGCGACCATGATTTGCATCAATCCAAGTAATAGATACGGCAAACAAAATGCTATATTAATGTAACCACCAAGCTATATTTAATAAATATGGCACAATTTTAATACAATTAAAATTAGCATAAGTAAGTATTTTGATTAATAATAATACCTGGTGCAACAATCCGCCAACAACTGGGCCCATTAGTAAACCCATAGCGTAACTCATCTCAATGTTTGCCTAGGTGAAGTATGTTCATACATAATTGATTATGTATATTTATAATGAAATGTATACTTATTACTTACATAGCTGTTAGATATATCATCTGAGTATTCCAAAAATAATACGCTAAAACATGATGTAAAAAATGTGCCCATGCCCAATCCCAATGTCATTTTCAATAAACAGCCAGTAAATATAAACACGGTCGCGTTTATGTACCATTGTAGTAAGCTACAGTATAATAATATTAATAAATATACAAAATACTAATTATTTTAATTAATAATCCAATAATACTCACCTAAACAATGCAAGACTTATACCACCAAGCATGATTGCAACAACTAGCACATGTTTATTGCGAAATTTACTAGACTTAATATTAAAATGCATATTGGATCAAGTGGATTAATTTAAATTAAAAGTAATAGTTTATCTATAAAGTGTTTACCAATTTACCAGATACAACAGAGCCAGTAATGAAACCAAGTTCAACCATACTATTTATTATACCTATCCAATTTTCATCAACACCTCGGTTCTTTGCCTAATTAGATAATGATTAATAGGTGTTAACTGTAATGTAGATAATATTTTACATAATACATAATATTACATTAATTTTTTAATTTACCTCGGAGGGAAAAAATGGTGATTGCATTGAGAAAGCGGTGCCAAAACACAGGGCACCGGCATTCAAAACAATTGTGGTAAAAATTAATTTATTTGTAGCATATGTTGGTACATGTTTTGATTCTACTTGGTGATCTGGAAATATTGTTTCACAATTAACATGATCATCTCCGCCATCGGTAATGCCGTCAAATGTATTATACATTCACACTATGAAAATACACTATAAATAAAACTATTATAAAATATAAACTAATCTCGATGATTATAATTATGATGATCATGTATTAAAATAATTTGTCTATCAAGTAAAGTGATTTTTAACATTGTCATTATGTGAAGTTAAAACTAATATAATAATTAATTGTTTATTTGTAAATATGGTTATTTTTATTCAATATCTGTGCTACGTCAACTATAATTTAGTATATGAGCAATTAAAACAGGTGCTTTGCAAAAATCATATTGCTTTTGCACAAGTGAATGTAACTAGATTATATTAAATTGATTAAAGTGACACATAATATTTTTAATTTATTTGTTAAATATTATCTCTCTAACTATATTAACAATAAAATTAATACAGTATAATCATATTAAAAATTTGAATGACAAACTTTAAAATAAAAATGCAGAATAATCATAGAATTTTAATTGATTGATATTTTAACTGTAGTATATTTAAGCATATGTCAACAGTTTTATAAATAAAACCAGACATAACTAGTTATTTAAAGTTATATTTATTTAGACTTTTTGTTTTAATGCATTGACTGATTAGAGAGTATTATATCTAAAAGTGCACTCAATTGTGATAAAAAAAACATTAATTATTATCATTAATTAAAAATCAATAATTCAATCTAGTTTGATTAAACCTTGTGCATAATGAAACATTTAAAATAACAATTTATATAACAGTAATGAATAAATTGATATTTATATGCAAGCGTGTGCTAAAAATAAATGTAGTACACCATAACTACAGTATACCGTATTATATACAATACAAAACTCAAAGTACAGTAATATAAACCAAGGTTAGGGTTTACTACTCCCGCATTGTATTACACAATGTAAATATTTTTAGCACATTTGTAAATACAACCCTGACAGAATTCAATGTCAAAACCACTACTAAAATAAGTTGCTATAATTACTACATCACGTAAATATGCATGTGATCTATGAATAGTGAATAAAATTTTATATTGTAAAAATATTTTCCTGTTATACATAATTGTTGTAAAAGTGTGTAGTGAAGTATGTAGTAAAAGAAATGGCTAAATTGTTTGAGCATCTGTGATAAATATTGTGATGATAACAAAGATTGTTATTTTAAGTTTAATCATGTATTAATTTATTTGATATAAAAAATATGAGCTTAAGTAATCAATTATGTACAGGATATATAGTAATTGATGATTATATGGCCTGTTGTACAGTATGTATAGCTTATAGTCCGAGTATTTTGTATTTTATCAGTTGTTTGAAAAGCAAACATATGTTTTATATTAGAAATAAGCGTATATTTAAGTTGTGAATTAACACCATGTAAATAATATAAAAATTATTAAGTGATTGATCTATATGCTTTTGACATAAACCATATACACTCAGTTTCAGCATCAGTTCGGTTGTGCGCAAAATAAAGTAAATAAGTATTTTAAATTGTGCAAAATTTAATATTATTTATGATGATGGTCAAACACATATCAGACATAATAGGCTCGTTTGGCAAATTTCAACTTAACATAGCTGCTTTCTATTTTACCATCTATATACTGTCACCTTTCAACAATTTTGGCATCACTTTTCACGCCCCAAAACTTAGTTACCGGTGCGCCAATAACAATGTTGGTGATTTACAATTTGAACATAGTAATAATGTAAATATAATTATATTTTATTTTAGTATACTTATTTTACTGTTTTAATAAAACTGTATATTTTAATAAATATAATAATTATTATAAAAATAAATAAGATGTTTGGATAATGATTGGATTCGTTACGCCTGACCATGTTTATTAATTTATTTATATTTAAATAGCATAATTAAATTAATTTTTTTTACATTTAATTTTACAGAGCTCATTTATTGGCCAACACGTGCCCGCCATCGCCCGTAACCTAAGTCACTGTCAAAACTGTCACAATTGGACTTATGATCAAAGCTATGGGAAAACAATTGTGTCAAAAGTACTATAAAATATAAACAATATTATTACTTATAAACTAAATTATAATACAATCACATTAAAAATTAATTTACCTAGTTTGATTTAGTTTGCGATAAATCATGGCTACCATCTTTATCGCAATCCATGTACCAAATGGGTTACGTAATGAACGGTCTGTTGTTGGGCTATATGTCGGACCGGTTTGGCCGGCGGCCCACCCTATGGCTGGCCATGACTATAGAGGTGTGCGGCGGATTGTCCCTCATATTTTCACCAACAATCACCATGTACATTATGAGCCGATTTTTTGTTGGCCTTGGTGATAGTGGTCGTGGTGTCAGTCTTTACCTGTTAATACTGGAAACCGTATGTACTTTTAGTTTACAGTTTTAGTTTACCTTTGGTTGTATAAGCCGTATATTATGATATAGATAACAAATATATAGTTAAACACAATTTGATCTTGCCATTTATATAATACCTTATTTTAAATAGTTTGTCCTTGAGTCTCATATTGGATGACATTTTATTAATGAAATTAAAAGTTATATCTAAGTTTTTAACATTTAAATAAAATTTTAACTATAATTAAATTTATATACAAAGGTTGGCACAAAATACCGGTCGGATATTGTGATGACAGTCACTTTTGGTTGGATTACTGGGTATATCGCTCTACCCGGTGCTGCCTGGATATTGAAGGACTATCAGTTACTACAGGCTATACCCACAACAGTGACATTTGTACTAATGTGCACATGGTTGTTGACAATACCCGAGTCACCAAGGTGGCAGTTATCTAATAATCAACACGAAAAAGCTCGAGTGACTATCATTAAAGCGGCTAAATTAAATGGACATGTTACCAATGTGGATTATATTAATGATCAACTAGATCAATTACGACATAACAGTGAAGTGGTAAGTGTGATTTTGTAATTAAAATTAATTTATTATAATATAAGATTAATAACTTATTTTGAAACAAAAGAAATTATATTAAAATCATTAATTATAATTTTTATTATAAACTGTATAATATTTTTGCAAAACATATAAGGTGTATACATTACCAAGTTTGTATTATGTTATGGTATCCAAACAGTTCCAGACTCAGTTTACAATAATTAAATTTTTGTAATGAAAACACAAATTATTTTTTAAGACGATAATATTTTAAAATATAATGAACGAGTCCAATTATTTTAAAAATTAGCGTTATTATTTAGAATACTCTAATTTTATGCAATTTATTATTAAATTTGGGTATTTAAATAAATATAATAATATTTTAGTTAAGGTAATTATTTACTAAATTTAATGTAACTGTAAAATAAAAATCCATTTAAATTAATATATTTTTAAATTACAAAATTACCATGCAAACTGTAAATCTAATTATAATAATTTATAATCTCCAGAAATAAATTTTGTATATTTAAATAATTGGATGGTTGTGCACTAAATAAAAATTATATTATATTTATAAATTAATTTTAGTTAAACTAATTTTTAAATAATTTACAAAAGATTATATAAAAATCATTTTTTATTATAAACGGTTATATTTTTGCAAAATATATAATGTGTATAAATTACCAAGTTTGTATTTTTAGTAGGGTATCTAAGCAGTTCCAGACTCAGTTTACAATAATGAAATGTTATTTTTGTAATGTAAATTAATTTTATTAAAACTAATTTTCAAATTTTCATTAAAATAATTAAAACTAATTATAATCATTTTATAAACATAGAACCTAAACAAGCACAAAAAGCGCAAACACTACACAATCGTAGACCTCCTATCGTCAAAAGTGATGCGAAACTATACACTCATATTCTGGTTTTCATTCGCCGTAAATGCATTCATATATCACGGAATATCACTAAACGTACAGCAAATCGGGGGTAATCTGTACGTAAACTTTGCCATAGCTGGCTTGGTGGAAATACCCTCGCTCATATTAAACATTGTGGGTTTAAAATACGTTGGTCGCAAAACATTCACTGTGGCCACAATGGCTATGGCATCTCTGTCTTACCTGGCCATCGTACTTTGCAGCGCTTATAGGGAGTCAATGGGTGTACATTATAATACGGCAAAATTGATCATGGCAATGTTTGGCAAACTGTTTATTTTTAGCTCGTTTAATGTGATTTATATCCACGCCGGTGAAATATTTCCCACCGTTCTGAGGCATACGGGTATCGGTAGCTGTAGTATCGCAGCCCGTATTGGCTCAATACTGGCACCGTTTGTTAGGGAAATGGTTAGTTGTGTACATTAATGTTTATTATTTCTACATAACTATTAATTTTGTTACTTAAATATTTTTAAAAAATTGTATTAGTTTTTATATGATTTTTTAAATTTAAAATTAATTTAAGTTATAATTTATCTTGATAATTAACTTCCACTGTGACGATGAACTTTCACGATAATAAATTGAATTAATATTTTTAATTTTCTACATAGAGTGAACACTATAACTTTGTCATATCGATGATGGTGTTTGGTTTGCTTGCGCTGATGGCAACTCTACTCACATTATTTCTACCCGAGACTAAGGACAGGGATATACCTGATAATATAATGGACGTGGAGGAACTTCACGATTTATCAGGGTCAAACAGTGCCGATAGTGATAACATAACATATGCCATCTCTACGAACATTATAAAAGAAACAGATAATATATAATTTATACTAAATTTGTAATTTTGTATACCACTAGTTAAAAGTAAACATACTGTATTAAACAAAATTTTGTCTTATTATTTTTAAACAACATTAATATTAATTGTGGAAAGTAAATGAATTTACATGTGTATAGACAGGTCTTTGTCTAGATTTAATAAAGATATTTTTAAAAATTATAAAATTTAGATCAACATTCCAAGGCATCAGAATCCAAGTTATATCAGGCTGCCATAATTAGATAATAAATGTTCAGTGTACTGAAATAATTGTAATCAATATTAAGAATAATAAAGTTAACTTACAATTAGTTAGTATAATAAGCTATACAGCAATATTATTGCGCTTATACCATGCCTTCTTATCATAATAGTAAAAATATTAAATGTCAGAGTATTATAATATATGTAATAAATTTATACGTATTTAAGTTACATCACATAAAAACTTGATTAAGATAAAACATTTAAATATTCATTATTATTTTTACTACAAATTATTTCTAGTGAATCCAACAGTTTATTGTTGCAATATTAAAATATTTTATTTGTCAATATCTATAATATAAGCAAGAAGTATTTTTAAAATAATTTTTAATTATTTAATTAATTAATTTATAATAATATCTTAATTATCTAAATACATAATTCAGTTTATAATTAAACAAATAATTTTAATTAATCCATTTTATCAGGACGATAAACACTATATCATCAAATGTCAAATATAATATAAAAATTATATAAAATATATAATGTCAAATGTTAAATTCTTATTAATATAATTATCATATCCTTGATTTCAAGTATTTAAAGTGTTTAGATAATAAAAATAATTTAAAATAAAATAGTATATAAATAAAGTTATTTGCAAAAGTAATTTAGTATATTCATAACAGTATAACTAACTAATATTTTCATCAATTATGTTTAATAAAAGTATAAATAATAAAAAGTTATAATTTTTAGATTAACACTAAATTTATTATTATTGCAGTATTTCCATTCGTGATTATGGCTTAAATTATGATACTAATTTCAAAATTCTATCAACACGGATTGATATCGAAGGAACGAGGTTTTCATTTAAGCAATATAACAACTATTTTATTATATAAAAATTAAATAAATGTTAATAATGCCAACAAAAGTCAATATTTTAATAATGTTTTTATTAATTTTATAATGTATTAATATATGTAATGAAAAAATAAATGTTAGAATTTCATGCATAGTTAAGATTCAAAAATTGTCATTTATTAGTGCAAAGAAAATATATTTATATAAAAATAAAATAAAAATTTCTCTAATTTTAATAATATTCTAATCATTAAATTTGTACCATTGTAGTATTATTACAAACACTAAATTAATAATTTAAGCTTGATAAAAATAATATTTATATTATACCATATAATACAAGATATTATAATAATATTACATTTACCATTACATTGCACTACAAATACATGTCATTACAATTTATTCATATATTTTATTTTATGCAAATTATTTTTAGAATGATATATAATATTAAGAAAAGTACAATTAATTAAAAAAAATTTCGAGTTATACTTATATTGATTTTTATTCAACAAAGCATTTTTAATAAAAACATCAAGTAAAGTTTAGTTTAAGTAATAAAGATCAAAATAGTTTATAACTCCGATTTTAAGCTTGATAATACAATTTACGGGCTTTTTATTTATTAAATAATAATAAAATTATTAATAAAATATTGTATTTTAAAAGTTTATTTAATATTTAATAATGACTCATTATATACTAACGATATTTAAATTTAAATATTAATTGTTGTAAAATAACTGTAATAATTATTATATTTTTATTATTACCATATTGTATGTCATAATAGATATTTAAATTTATTATAATAATATTTTAATTAGTAAAATTTTATTCATTTATATGTTAATAGCTTATTGCTTATAATACAAGATATTAATTTTCAATGTAATTGTTGTTAAAATATGAATATCAGAGAATAATACGTTACAAAATTTTTAACTACAATTATGCTATGAATAATTTGATTTATTTATTTTTTATTATGTATAAAATATTAATCATTAAGTTTTATATTTACAAATCTATATAAATATGTTAGCTAGTTTTAATAATATTTTTTTCATATAATTTGTACCATGTATTATCACACACAGTATATTGTTAATTCTAACTCAATTAAAGCGATACTTATATTTAAGCTGTCATTGCACTATAATATACAAACATGTATAAGTAATAAATTTAACTCATATTTTGTAAATTAAGTTTTGGCACAATGGAGTTTGGACAGAATTACCTATTTGTTAAATATCGCGCGCAACATGTATTTCATAAATTTATCAATAATGATAATATGTCATTTATTGATTGCAATAAATTTCATTTCAATGAACCTTTGCCTTATGACTATAGCAATCGCACGTTTAAATTCATGATGTATTCCAACGATGTAATATATTTTAAAAATTTAATTATTAAATTACAATTATTAATTTTATCATATAAATTTACATGTATATTTAAATGTCTAGTATGGCTCTGTAACTGCTGACTTTTCAGATGATCTTGTTTATATTGTTATGAATGGCTTCTTTTTTCGAGCTATATTTCATAACTGAAGTGGGGGTTCTCCTTGAGAGGGAGAGCCCCCGAGGTGACCAATGAGTGGAGCACACACCCGAAGGTCGACCGACCGGTGTTCC